ACCAATTTTCAACTTGAAAGACAGTATGCTGTAGCAAAATGTGTTCTGGATTTTCAAGGGACCTGGTTTCAAATCCCAGGTGTGTTTTATTCTACTTGTGTTAACAACTCACTTGCCCTCTCTCATACTCAAGTAGTTCTTCTGCAAAAATGAGTTGGATCAAATGTTTTTAAAGTTCTTTTTCAGTTCTCCATGCTATTATCTTAGTCCTAGGATCCTCCTTTATGAGGATATGAAGATCAAATACATATACAACCATATAGATATTGGATTGCATTTTCATATGTAAATTATGTGGGCACAGTATTCTCTGCACTGGAAAGTCCCTCTGTATAGTCCACTCTTTTAAAAAAAATCCCTCGCAGCCAGACGTGGGGTAGCACGCTTATACATAGTTCCTGCTGATGGGGAGGCTGATACTGGTGGATTGCTTGAGTTCAGGAGTTCTAAGCTGCAGTAGAGCTAAAGTCAATCAGGTATCCTCACTAAGTCTGGCACCAATATGTTTAGCCCCTAAGAGCAGTGGGCCACTAGGCTAACTAAAGGCAAATTGTCTCAGGTTGGAAATGGAGCAGGTCAAAACTTTGATGTTGATCAGAAGTGGGGTCGGGCTCATGAGTGGCCTCTGCTCTTTTAGCCTGTGTAAGACTGGGAGACCCAGTCCCCCCAAAAGCCCCTTATGGTTAAAATAAATCTTTATTGAGCTTATTATAAGTTTATTTCTGCTGCAATTCTAAAAAAACTGACTCTTGTCCAAACAAGAGAACAAAAGCTTTGAGTAAACTTTTCTAATATGGTTTATCATATCACTTGTTGTGTTACTGAAGTGACAGTGGTATTCTGAGAGTGCTGGAAACCAGAAAATAAACACTTTGATACATGCCAAAGAATAAAACAATCTTTAATAAATATCACTTTTATAACATTATCTAAAAAAACACAGAATGTGCCATGGTTTGTTAGGTATCCTATATGTAACAGGCATAATCATTAAAGTGCTTCTAAAACATCATTGACGTGTTTAAATAGCCTTCCTGATCACAAAGTGTTTTCAGTGCATGGGAGTGGATGAGCAAAAGAGGTAAATCCAGAGAAGGTCAGATCAGCAGATATTGGAATGAAACAGATGCTTGAAAAGTGGTTCATAGACCCACTTTATTCAGAAAAAAATACATGACACCTTTTGCAAACTACTGCCTAAAGACAGAAATACAAGGGGTAGGGGTGGGGAAGGCAAAAAGATGACAGAATTCATACAGTAAGAGCTGCTTCATCAAATAAGCTCTAAATTTGGAGGAGTAGTATAGCAAATTGAGGTGATAAATTCATTGTAAAAAGGGTTATCTATTTGACCTGGAGTGAGACAAAGGGATGTTTTCTATCCTTACTTACACTTCGCATGCAGGTTGCCCATGTCCTGCAGCTGACAAAGATTTATGAAGCATTTGCTATGCACTGGGTATTGTTCTAAGATTTAAGGATGCAAAGAAAAGCAAAAAAAAAAAAACAAACGGTACCAAGGAATTCTAATTCTAATGAGGGAGACATCATATAGATAACTAGGTCTATACATATACATGTGCATATACATACATATATACATTGTATGTATGTATATATATGTGTGTGTGTGTGTGTGTGTGTGTATATGAAATACACAGAAGAGATGAAAGGGAATCTCAGAAGGAAAGGAACTAGCAACTAGGGGCAGGGGGATTGATGGGAAAGACCTCCTGTAGAATGTGGCATTTGAGTTGAGTTTCAAAGAAAGCCAAAGAAACTAAGAGGGGGAGGTAAGTTGAGAGATCACTCCAGGCATGAGGGATGGCCAATGCAAAGTCACAGAGTGGGAAAAGAAAGTGTTATAAATGAAGAATAGCAAGGGAATCAGTATATCTAGATTATAGAGCGTATGAAGGGGAGTAAAGTGTGAGAAGACTAAAATATTAGGAAGAGAGCATGTCATAAAGAGTTTTAAATATCCAAGAGAACTTTATATTTGATCCTGGAAGTAATAGGGAGCCATTGGAGTTTATTCAGTAGGAGAGTAACATGAGAAGACCTGTACTTGCCACTTTGGCAACCAAGTGGAGGATGAATTGGAATAGGGAAAGACATGAAGCAGGAGGACCTATTAGGAAGCTATTGCAATAATCCAAGTGAGAGGTAATAAAGGCTTGAATGAGGTAATGGTTGTGCAAATAAAGGAAAGGACACATATTTGAGAGATGTTGTGAGTGCAGAAACAAGATTCATTAACAGATTGGATATATGGGATGAGTGTGAGTGAGAAGTCAAGGATAACAACAAGGTTGTGAACTTGGATGAGTAGGAGGATGGTAGCTCCACTTGATTGTCGTAAGAGTTTATACAGTAATAAGGAAGTTCCCAAAGGTGGAATGTAGATAATGAGTTCTTTTTTGGATATATTGAGTTTGAGATGCTTAAGGTATATCTAGTTTAAAATGCCCAAAAGGCAGTTGGTACTGTGGGATTGGAGCTCAACAGATTGCTTATCTAATTCTCCTTTGTAACAGTTATTTGGGTACTCATCCTTCTAACGAGGCAGCTAGATGTCACAGTGGATAGAGTGCCAGGACTGGAGTCAGGAAGACTCATCTTCCTGAGTTCAAATTTGGCCTCATATACATCCTTCCTGTGTGACCCTGGGCAAGTCACTTAACCCTGTTTGCCTCAATTTCCTTGATTGTAAAATGACTTGGAGAAGGAAATGGCAAAACACTCCAGTATCTTTGCCAAGAAAACTCCAAATGGGGCCATGAAGAGTTGGACACTACTGAAAAATGGTAGAACAACAACATTCCAACCAAGTAAGCTCTTTTGAGAGGGGAGCTTCCATCATATCCATCTCTATATCCAGAGTACATAATTCAATGCCCTACACATAGCTGGTTTTTGATAAACTGAGTATTCATTTTAAAAAAAGACTAGAATCCAATAAATTCAATTCTCAGCAGGCTAGATATTCTTTTTCTTCCCTTTCGAGCAAAATATTTCCAGAGGTTGTCTATGAGAACTAACTACAATATACATGAAGGTCTAATTTCACCTGGCAGAGGGCAATGGTCCTCAGAAACACAACAAGATTACACAAAGTCAGAAGTTGAAGCCTCTATCCTTGGGTAACAGAGAGCAGGTTTAAAGAGGGATTAATTAGCTCAAAGCTAAGGCATTTGAAGGGGAAAGATCCCACAGTAGGCTTGGTTTCAATTTCATTCAGTTTGATTCATAAAGCACCTCTATGTGTAAGATGCTGTGTTAGACACTAGGGATATAAATACAAGATGAAAAATAGTCTCTGCCCTCAAGGGGTTTACGTTCTATTGAGGGAGGAAACATACCATCATCATCATCATCATTCTTCAACACGAAAAATAACAATAGCTAGCATTTATATAGTGCTCCCAGCTTTGTAAAGTGCTTTACAAATATTGTATCATTTGAGTCTCATTACAACTTTGGGGATAAATGTTATGATTATCCCCATTTTACAGTTGGGGAGAATGAGGCAGACAGAGGTTAAGTAACTTCATGGCCACCTAGCTAGTAAATGTCGGAGGCTGGATTTCAGCTCAGGTCTTCCAGGGCCAGTCCTCTATCCACTATACCACCTACCTCCCTCTACACATATATACATATATAAAAATATAAAAATATATTCAAAATAAATATAAAGAAGTTGACAGGAGGCAGGGGCGGAAGCTCTAGCAGCTGAAGGGAATCAACAAAGGCTTTATGTAGAAGGTGGCTCTTGAGCTGAGCTTTAAAGAGAGTTTGAGATTCTAAGAGGAAGAGTGAAGCTAATGAGTCTAAAATGTTATAAAGTCATATTCTAAACCTACAAATTTCCCCACATCCTTCCCATTTTTTACCAACATCCTCAAATAACAATACTTCTTTTTTGGATGCAAACCTTCCATTTAAATAGCAAGTTTAAACAAGGGGGGAAAAAACCAACCACCCCACCCCATCATTCTTGGAATGAAAGTATTGAAGACCACACTCACATGACAAAAATTTAAATACACAGTAACATTTTCTACTCAAATAGAACCGTGTAACCAGGTTTCCCAGAGTTAAAGGCAAAGCACAAATTAAGTCTTCAACTTGACACAAAAACATTCTTCATCAAGTGTGTGACCCAGGGCCCAAGTCCATTTGCCTAAGACTCTCCTCATTGAAGAATGAGTACTTGATGATCATTCTTCATCAATAAGGATAATCTTATATAAATGAGCTTGAGCTTTGGCTTATAGGTGTTGGTTGGCTAAGTGTACTAGGTAACAGAAGGAGTAATACAGAGCAACAAACACCTTCAAAGTCAGAGGCTCTCAGGAAAAACAGCAGATTTGTAGAAATGAATGGCTGTAAGTATCATCACTCAAAGATACCATTCACATTTATAGCATTGGAAAGTGAGGGGATGCCCATCAATTGAGGAATAGCTGAACAAGTTGTGGTATATGAATGTGATGGAATACTATTGTGCTATAAGAATGATGAGCAGGTGGATTTCAGAAAAACCTGGAAAGACTTACATGGACTGATGCTCAGTGAAGTGAGAAGAACCAGGAGAACATTGTACACAGTAACAGCCACATTGTGCGATGACTAACTTTGATAGAATTGGCCCTTCTCAGCAATGCAAGGATCTAAAACATCTCCAAAAGTCTCATGATGGATAATGCTATCCACATACAAAGAAAGAACTATGGAGTTTGAATACAGACCGAAATATGCTATTTGCTATTTTTTTCTTCTGTTTTGTTTTGTTTCCTCTTTCTTGTGGTTCCTCCTATTGATTCTAATTCTTTCTTACAACATGACTAATGTGAAAATATGTTTAGTAAGACTGTATATGTATAGCCCATTTGAGATTGCACGCCGTTTTGAGGAGGGAGGCGGAGAGGAAGGGGGAGAAAAATTTTAAACTCAGGCTTATTTAAGTGATTGTTGATAAATTAAAATAAATTAATAAAAAACATTTTTTAAAAATAGAAAAGACCTCACAATTACAACAACAACAACAACAACAACAACAACAACAACAAAGATACCATTCACTCTTTCACCTTACATCAGCCTATGTTTCCTCAAAGCAGGCTAGAAATATTTCTTGGTTACTGCCTCAAAAACTATTCAATTATCCTTTGAAGCAGATGGGAGTTCTTTCCTTTTCATTTTCTATGTCTTCTTTCTCTCTTCTTTTCCCGTCATCACACCATTCTCTCCCCTTGTTTCCTTCCCAGAAGCTGAGGTGTTTGGAGCACTTTTCTATGAAACTGCTAAGCACTGAGGGAATTTCAAAGGGGCTGGGCTGAGAACCCCAGGAGATTAAATCAGAAGCTGAGATGTTGGGTTTATCCCTTCTCAGTATTTGTATCTGTAGTGGAACAAACAAAAAGGATTAGGAATAGGAGTATATATTAATTTCTTTCTTAATCTTAAAAATATTTTAGCCTCTTTGAAAACCCCATTAGAATAGTACTTCACATTTCCATAGCACTTTAAGGTTTACAAAGTACGTTTCCCCCCGCAAGTTAGAACAAATAATATCTTCATTTTATAGATGAGAAACTGAGACTCATAGAAGTGCCCTGTCTTGCCCCATTTCAGAAAACTTTTAAGAGGCAGGATTGAAATGTGGGGCTTATGAATTTAATTCCATCTGGTATTTTTTCCATTTCCCTACATCATCCAACATGGTGGCTAAATACAATAAGGTTTCTGTCTATAATCCTTTGTAGGTGTCAATGGCATAATGAAGTTGTTAGCACTTACTGTACGTGCCCACAAAAAAAGAATGAATGTTTGACCCAAGATAACCAATTAATCTAGACTTGTTTGGACTGGAAGATTAATTTTTGGAACAGCATTTCTAAATAAATCAAATTATCAGTCAATTAATCCCCAAGCATTTATTAAGGGCCCACTATGTTCTAGGCACAGTGCTAGGCATGGGTGCTACAAACACAGAAGAGATAACTCCTGCCCTCAAAGAGCTTACATTCTACCTTAGGGCTAAGACATATTTGGAAATCAGTAAAGATGTGATATATACACAATAAATAGTCATTCTTTTTCGAGGGATGCACTAACAACTTAGGTAATCAGGAAAGGCCTCTTGAAGGAAGGTGCATTTGAGATGAGCCTTGAAAAGCACACCCTTCTAGGTGTTCTAAGAGGCAGGAACAGAAACGAGGAAGAAAAGCTTTCTGATGTGTGCCAAGGCACAGAGGAGGGAGATAGCCATGGTAGTTCCTTACCTATGGCCACACTTTTTTCTTATTCAAATGAGTAGTTTTCCCTCTTTTTACAAATAGATAAATTCCAGAGGGGAAAGAAATATCCTTCTATCCATAACTCAAACTTGGTTCCCTGAGACACTGAAATTGAGGCAAGGAGATTTCAACTGCAGACTGTTAGAACAGAACAGCCTCTAGGACAGGGGTGGAGAACCTGTAGCCTTCCAATCAAAGGGATGCACTTGAGAACTTAGAGGACCACGTATGGCCTCGAGGCTGCAGGTTCTCCACCCTGCTCTGGAACAACTAAGGTTTAATGGTGAGAAACCCATCTCCTTCCTCTACTCCAATATCTCTCCTTTGATTCTCTGCCACCTAAAGAACCATTTTTTTCCTTCTCATACTGAGAGGTAGAAAGAGGTAGTTCTTTAAGGGTCACTAGGTTTGAATGATGTATGTATTCTCCTATGGTTTGTTGAAATTGAGAATTCCTTCTAATTTTTATTCCCTAACTACTCCCAACAAAATGCAGAAGGGAAAAATCTTGGTTGACAAAATTGTCCATTTTTATTGTTGCTATTGTTGTTGGTATCACCATCATTATCATTGTCATCATAATTATAAATTATTATTAATCATCTGGGTTTTGCATTTTTGTTTTGGCCAGCTCACCCCCAATCCACTGATAATTCAGTTATACTTACCATATTGGAGTTCGCTGTCTGGGAAATTGTTGTTGTTGTTGTTGTCTAGAAAGACACTTTTTCTCTGTGTCTATCATTCTCACTTAAAAAAAAATAAACATTTTGGTTATTTTCTCCTCTGATATGGTACAGCTATAAATCCTGTGCAGTAGGCTGGGTTTAAATTGTATGTCCCCAAGAAAAGTTTGGCAAGGAGCTAGGGGAGGGGAAAAGGCTGTGTTCCTGAGGACCTTTCTTTCCAAATTTTCACAGGTTGCTTGGGTGCTATCTATATTTGTCATTTTGAGTAAATGCCATGGATTTTCTTTTCTTTTCTCTTTTTTTGTCTAGGCAGTGGGGTTAAGTGACTTGCCCAGGGTCACACACCTAGTAAGTGGTATGTGTCTGAGGCTGGATTTGAACTCAGGTTCTCCTGACTCCAGGGCCGGTGCTCTATCCACTGTGCCACTTAGCTACCCCCTATGGATTTTCTTAAGGGGCATCTTTAAGTATATAACTCTATTTCCCACCTAGTGTTATGTTCTCAAATACTGGATGGCCCACTAATATCCTTCCCAATAGTACTTTGCAAGTTAAAAACTTCACAATGACTGGCTCTAATTATGGATATTTCTTAGGAAAAATCTATTTGTAAGTCTAGCTAATTACAGCATCTTATAGGTCTTTGTTCATATTTTTCCTTTGTGTAGTAATTTGATAAGAAACCTGACGAGACCCACTTTGGAAATACTTGATCTTCCTCGTCCTTCTCTTCTGCCCTATTGTCTGGAGACAAAGGGGAAGGTAGGGGAATTTCTCACAAAACCACCAAAATTTTCCTCTCATTTTCTACTTCCCTATATTTGTGTTCAGATCATTTTATACACACACTATCATATCAAACTCAATTTTCAGAGTATTAGAGAAAAATCTGGCCTATAGCTCATCCTCTGAGTAAGGAAAATTGTCTATCTGTACTCATTTACTGAGTTTAAGTTGTGGAAATTAGGAAGAATAAAACTGAACACTGAGGAAAACAAAATTTAAAACCATCTATTGCCCTCCTCAGAAAAAAAAACCGTAATCACTTGGAATCAAAATATCATAGTTTTATTTGAATTATTAAGTTAGTAATATTGCTCTACCTTGCCCAAAAGCTCAACATGAGGATGCATCTTAGAAGCAAAATTTAGAAATCAAAACTAGAAATCAATCAGCATTTTACTTCTGTGCAATATTTAAATTTCTTTAAATATCTTTGCAATATTAGGATCTAGCGTATAAATTTTACATGATCTAGGTTAGCCCTGGGCAAAACTGAGAAGCTGGCAAAATCTGTCTTTCATGGTTCCCTTCTCAGATTCTCTAGACACACCACTATAAGCCTGCCTTTCATTCAGTATCAAACTTGAGTCTTACCCAATTCTAGCATAGAACACCGGATTTGGAGACAGATGACATGAGTTTGAGTTCTCTCTCTGCTATTTACTTTCATAAATGAGCAAAACTTGGTAAAATCAGAGTGAGAAGGAGGAACACAGGTCCAAAGAAAATGAGTCCCACAAAGACACAGGCTGAAAAAGGGGGGAAGATAAGGTAAATTAAATTTAAAGTGTAATACCATCTTTTTTTTCTACAGCAGAGAAACATCAGAATCAATCCAAAGAAAATGACAGCTCCTAGGGTCCCAAAGTAATTTCTCAGGTCTATCTTAGATGATGCAGTTTTCTCTGAAAATCAATGTAAAAAAACAAAAACATAAGATCAGAGTTATCACAGATTTGGAAAGAATCTCAGAGGCCTTTGAGTCCAACTTGCACCAAAACTAGAATCTTCTCTACAACACACTTCCCAGGTGGTCATCTAATCTGTGCCTCAAGTCTCCAGTGAGTGTGAACCACTGCTTCTGGGAAGTGCTTTTGGACATCTCTAATTGTCAGAAAGTTTTCCTTGCACTCCGGGACTAAGCAAAAACAATTCTAATACCTCTTGAATGTGATAACCCTTCAGCCCCTTCCCTCTTGACTATTCTAGCTAAATATCCCTAGTTCTTTCAACAGATCCTCATGTGGTATGAACTCAAAGCCCTTTACCATCCTAGTCACCCTCCTTTAGATATTCCAAGTATCAATGTCTTTCCTAAAATGTAGCAACTAGATATGAACACAATGCTACAGTTATTTGAGATGGGATCATGAAAATAATTACTGTTCAAAAGTCATCTTAGTATTTTCTTAGCCAGGGAAAGTGTTCTTGATTGTAAAATTCCTTAAGATGGGCTATGTGTCTTTTATTCAACTCTAGAAACAGTGATTAAATACCTACTGTATATAAAGCTCTGGGGATACAAAAATAAACGAGACAGTCTCTGCCTTTATGCAATTAGCAATTTAATAAGTGAGAGACATGTCTATCAATAAGCTTGATAGTAGATAGAGTGTGATAAAGGCAAAGGAGAGCTACAAAGTGCATGAAGGGAAGTAATGAAAAATAAAGATTGAAAGTTAGATTAGAGTCATACATGGAGATCATTAAATGCCTGGCTAAGGGAATTATATTTTATTTTACAGTAGAAAGCGAGTTGCTAAGAGTTTTGTGAAGAATGGTGTTAACATTTCTCTAATGTAGGCACCAGAAAACTATGATAGTACATGCTAAAGGTGTTTCATAGGTACATTTTATTTCCCGTTGCTAGACTGTAGCCTCCTTGAGGCAGGGACTGTTTTTTTTTTCTATTTCTCAGCACCTAGCATAGTCTCTGGCATTTAGTAGATGCTTAATAAATGTTTGCTAATTGATTAACTAATTGATTTCCAGGACATATAGTGAGTTGTCTACTGTTGAGTCCTTTGCCCTGCCCATTGCAACAAAACGTGATATTCAATGTGTAGCCTCCTTCGCTTTCCTAAATCACAGAAGGCTGTGGTCATCCCTCACATTATCAGTACCTGGCAACCCTTCACTTCTTTCTGGAGTGCTGTGTCAGTTAAGAAGATGGGAGTAATAATTGAGTGATGGAATATGTTGCATAGATAAAATTAATTGTTTGTTGGGCAAGAAAAACAGACTGGAATGTTAGCCAACCACATTACTTCTGTGATGTAGTTGCCTCTGGGGCTACCACCTCCAGAATTATGGTGTATGAAATGTCACGGTTGTCCCTGGAGTATTCACCAACCAGGAGATACATTTGCCCCAAGGGCAGGTGAGGCAATGGACCTGGCAGGAGCCACCCAGAAATGAATCAAAGTTATGAAATTTTGAAAGCCTTTATCAACAAAGAGATTAATGGGGAGTGTATTTGGAAGGAAGGACAGAAGGATGATAAGAGGTGGATGCAGGGTTTGGGGAAGAGCTTAGTTTTGGATAAGAATCAGAGGTTATCCACTGCAAGAAAGGTGCTGCTATCACCTCTCCCCATCCTTCAGCCCCAGCTTCTGGCTTGGAAAAGCTACACTTTCCACCAGCCTCTTTATTGGTAAGAGATTGCACTTTTTGTAGGGGATGAGCACTAAAACTCAGTATCAACACATCAGTTCACTGGATAATGTTCCCCATGGAAAATGAGCATTGCCCCCCAGGAAAATGTCAAGGCTTCACCAATCTTGGCAAGAGAGTGAAATAACCAAACACTTGGGTTGTGTCAGCATAGGAAAAACAGGATAAGAAGAGTCACAGAAACTGTCTGAAACTTTCACAAACATAAAATTTGTATAAACTTGATGCAAAATCCCCAAACTATCACACATGCCAAAAGGAAGGAATAAAAACTTTTAAAGATTGCCAGTTCTGGCCTTACCATGACAGAAGAACTTAATCCTGAATCCCTTATACTGAACAACTCATGATTCCTAAGTCATAGCTTAATGCAACATGGTACAGTGCTAAAACTGCTAGTTTAGAAGCATCCAGTCCAAACTCTCATTTTACAGATGAGGAAACTGAGGTCCAGGGAGACAAAATAACTTACATAAGATTGCACAGGACCATAGCTAAGATTCTAATACAGGTTCTGTGACTCCAAATTGAGTACTCTTCCTACTATGTCATATTTTTTAAACACTTATCAGGGCATAAGATTTCTAGCAAACAGTAGAAATGGGTGAGGCTGCCATGTTATCCATTTCTGGAAATGAAATTGCCTGGTATGCATATAGAAGTCATGACTTTTCAAAGCACTTCTGCACACATTAACTCACTATAAACTTACTTATCACTTTATGGGGAAAAGCAAGGGGAAGTAACCCATAAAATAAGCAGTATAGGGTAGTGAAAAGGACATTGGACATAAGTGTTCTCTGATGTTGGAAGACAGGGGGACACGTTCGGAAGCATACCTTGGATGACAATCTGAGCTGAAGTATTTTTCCCAGTATCCTTTTCCTGAAAGAAGCATTGGAAAACTTCATTTGCTGTTGTATTGACCCTGAGAGTGCTTGTTATGTTGAACAATTTTTCCTGTCCAACTGAATATTTCACAGTGGCTTTGCTGCTTAGATCCTGATCCCCACTTTTCCAGATGACCTTTGCTTTAGGATATCCTTCTGACTGACATGTGATTTCATATTCGGAGGTGACTGGATCCACTTTGATCCTATGGTTTATTTTGCTATATGGGGCTAAGGAATGAACAAAGTAAAAAAAAAAATTAGTATTTTCATTTGATAGAATATAAACTCTTTGAAGGCAGCCACTCTTTTATTTTTGTCTTTGTAATGTCTACCACAGTGCCTGGTAGATAAGTAGGTGTTTTTTTTATCCTACTTATTGATTGATTAACTTGCCCAGAACTAGACGTGGCTCCATTGAGTCATAAAACAGGAATGAAGGATAAACTAAATGGTCAGTCTGTGTGGTCCACTGGCATCCTCACAATGTAGGATACTGCCCCAATTTCCCCTGAAGGTGACTTTCTGGAAAGATATAGGCTAGCATCATATGGGATGTGCAAATGTCTATGGACTATATTCTGTGTCACTGAAGAGAATACTCTTATTAATAAGATCACAAATCCATGAGTGTTGACTGGTATATAATTATATTTAAAAAATCATTAAATTGACTATAATCCTAAAGGAAGGTAGTTTCATAATTTTTAGACCCTGAGACCTCAGGTTGGATAGGCAGATTCCAAATTTAGACTTGAAAAACTTCCCAAGTAGAGCTAGTCAAAAGTGGAATAATAACAATAAGGATTTTACAATACTTTAGAGTTTTTGCAAAGCACTATACATATATCATCTTCTCTGGTCTTCACAATAACCCTATGAGGTAGGTACTATTATTATCCCCATTTTACAGATGAGGAAACTGAAGATGACAAAAGTCAAGTGATTTGCCCAGGTTTACATAGCTGGTAAATGTCTGAGGTAGAATTTGAACTCAGATCTTCCTGACTCAAGGCCACTGCTCTTCCCATGGCATCACTTAGCTGCCACCTTTGGCTAGCTTTCCTTCAAGAGACAGTGGGTTCCCTTTCATTGGAAGCCTTCAAGGGAAGGCTGAATGTCCACACATCTAATGTGTTGTAGGGACAGAATTAGAGAATTTGAGAGTTTGAAGAAACTTAAGAATCTACCTAGTGGAATCCATACCTGAAAAGAATTCACATAATACCATAAAGGATAAGGGGCCATCATCCAGTCTCTACTTGAAGAGACAAAATAAGACAAATTCATTGAGTATGAGTTGGAATAGATGGCCACTGAATCCTTTCCAATTCTGAGATTCTGTGACACTTTACTATGTCAGCTGAATGACTGCATTCTATAAAGTATTTTGAGATTTTTTTTTGCTTATGTTCTTAAACTTCTAGCATCCCTGACTTCATGTGTGAGTTTTCTCTCTACCAGCACAGATGGAAGCCTAAGAAGACAACCAAATTATAAGAAAAAAACCACTGAGTAGCAAACCCTTCTGATGATGAACTTTTCCATATTTAATGAGGCCTGTCCTCATATAGCAGACATTCCATCTAACATTCTGTCACTGGGTCTTTATTTAAAGTCTTCTCAAGTTGGTAGGGCCCAACAGAATTTACATTCCATTGGCATAGCCCAAAAGAGGAAGCCCAGGGTCACTTTCAGGCCAAAATGGGGCATTGGAGTAGGCCTTTAGTGCAGATTTCTCCATCTCTAATATTTATTTCCTTCCTCACATGAGTAATTTAACCACAAAAAGCCAACCAACAGGGAATCCTAAATCCTCATTCCATTCAGATATCATAGAGTAAAATCCCAGTGGAGACAACATAGAGTAGAGATGTCTGGGAAGTGAGGGGAAGGCCTGGATCCAACCAAGAAAATATAAAAACTTTCTCATCAGAGCCTGAAATGTTTCTGCACATGGAATCGAAGGTTCCAGTAGAAGAAGGTGGAGATGAAGATCCCACTCGTGATCTCATCAATAAGGCATAGCATAGGGATGTCCAGGAAGAAATATAAGCAACTAATAGAAATATGTAAAAAGGTCAAAGGCTATGAAGAAAAATTATACAAAGAATGATAAATTATTAATAAACATATAAAAGAACATTTGAAATCACTTATAATAAGACTGTAAATTAAAACAATTCTGAGGTTTTATCTCATACCTAGAAAATGGGCAAAAGATAAGAGTAAGCAATTTAGAGGGGCTATAGAAAGACAGGCACAATAATGCCCTGTTGATTGAGCTATGAATTGGTCCAACAATTCAGGAAAAAAAAAATATCCATCTCTGTTGACCCAGAAATTCCGTTGTTAGGCACATACCCCGAGGAGGTTAGTGACAAAAAAGAAAGACCCTATCTATATACAACAAAAGCACTTTCTGTAGTTCCAAAGAATTGGAATCAAAGTAAATAACTACAGACTGGTGGAATGGCTAAACAAGTACATGAATGTAATAGAATATTACTATGTTGTAGGAAACTATGAATATGATGAAAACAGGAAAGCATGGGAAGCTTGTATGAACTGATGCAAGATATGAAAAGCAGGACCAGGAAAATAATATACATAATGTGCACAAGTATGAAACGATAGACACAAAAATATAAGTGGAAACAACAACAAAACAAATTGAATGGTCATTTTACACATACATGAGTTGGATTAGATGGACATTAAGGTCCCTAAAATCTCACATTCCTGTGATTCTGTGATTCACAGATAAGTAAATATTATTATGTAAATGCCTACTGTCATAGTACTGTATTAATAATATTGATTTATGAATGTAAAGAAAAACTACTCCCAGGTCTCTGATCAATAAGCAACTGTGGATACATTCTAGAGTTACACAAATCTTAGGTAAAATCTCAGAGAATCAGGGGATTTAGAGCTTGAAAAGCATCTTAGAACTCCTTAGGTCTAAACCACTTCAAAGAAGGGGAATGATTTGTCCAAGTTCATACTGAAAGTAAGTAGCAGTCAGGATTCCAATTCGTGTCTTCTGACCTCAAATCCAGTGGTCTTTCGATGGTACTACCCTGTGGATGTATGTTGCATGAGGCTGGCCTTTAAATTCGCATGTACCTAGACTGAAAAGAGTCTTGCATCACCACCCAAGTTGCCCAGTCTCAGTTGTGGTATTTACAAGCGACTTGGGTGACCTCAGGCCAGTCGCTTCCTGTCTCTAGAGTTCAAATTTCTCTGTTGTAAAATAGGGGCATTGAACAGAGTGATTATAAAGTCACAACTAGCTCTAAATACAATAAAAATAAGCTTCATTCTTTTATTAAGCCTAATTCTTTGGGGAAGGAATACTTCTTTGAGAGCCAAGTGATAATTCACTTTATTAGATTATTCAGGATAATTTACCTTCTTTAGAATAATAAAGCAATAATTAACTCTTTGAAGGCATATACACCTCATATGGCATCTTAAAATATTTCTCCATTGGGTCATGATTTTATTTTCTTTGACAACTTGCAAGGAGTCCAGTTATTAGGCATAATTATGCCCATAGTTTTACTACAAACAACTTGCTTTTCTATGTCACGTCAGGGTTTGTAAGGCCACTTACCTCATCACAGCCCTGTGGTGTAGGCAGTTTAGATATTACTATCCTCATTTTACCGAATGAGGAAACTCAGAATGATTAAGTGAGTTGCCCATGGCCAAACAACTAGTGAGTATTGGCTAATATTTGAACTCAGCTCTCCTAACTCCATCATTTTCTGCTCCCCTCACTGTCAAGGATTTGAGGTAGGAAGCAGGCAAAGGGAACTTGTACTTAGCAAACAAAGAAATTACCATAACTGAGTTAATATAGAACTAGATTGTGGCCAGTTTTATTATCACTTTCGAGATATCTACTCTTAAAATCCCGTGGTAAGTAAAACTTCCCTTTATGAGTAAAGGTGTGTCACTAGGTATTTGCAGTGATGGGAAAAGAAGGTTGACTGTATTACTGTAAAATCATTTGCATAAGGGAAGGTAGTTATAACTCCTCTTCCTAGAGTAGTAAAACTGAATCATAAAGCATCCAAGCGTTCAGAGCCTTCCAGGTTAGCACATTAGATGCATGGTCATCTAATCCTGCCTCTCTTCTGCTCAAAACCTTTTGATGCCTCCCATCTGTAAAATGGGAATAATAATAGCACCTCCCCCCCAGGGTTGTTGTGGGGATCAAATGACATAGCAATTGTAAAGCACTTAGCACAGTGCTTGGCACATAGTAAATGCTATATAAATGTCAGCTATTATTAGCTATTATTATTTCATACTGAGTAAAGTTCTAATTCTGTAACCTGGCATAATCCCATCACAATATGGCACTACCCTACCTTTTCAGATTTATCTTGTACTGCTCTTGGTTTAAAAAACAAACAAACAAACAAAAGACCTCTACACAAATCAATACAGGCTGGAAGCAATGGGACTAGACAGTGCTTCATGTAAAAAGAAAAAATCTTCAGAAACAAGTAACTGTAAGCTCAGTTCAAATCTGCAGTGCAACATAGCAATATTAATTATTTAAATGATGAATGTAATTTTACTCATTTGTTTATTCAGTAAGCTTTGAAGCACCTACTAATTTGTACCAGGAACTGTATTAGACACTAGATTTCAAAGACAAAAATGAAAAATAAAAGCCTCAGCTCTCAAGGGGTTTATATTCTACTGAAGGAAACCATCATATGTGTAGATACATACTGGAATGCATAGATCGTGGACCACACATGCCATTTTGCATATACAAGCATTCATAAGTTGGTAGTAATGACTCAAAAGACATATTGGCAGGGGCAGCTAGGTGGCACAGTGGATAAAGCACTGGTCTTGGAGTCAGGAGGACCTGAGTTCAAATCTGGCTTCGGGCACATAACTCTCACTGGCTGTGTGACACATAACACTCACTAGCAGTGTGACCCTGGGCAAGTCACTTAACCCCAATTGCCTCACCAAAAAAATTAAAAAAATTAAAAAATGGATATTGGCAAAGTGGAAGCTGAGATGTGATCTCTATGTGTTCTTCAAGTAAAGCTAAATCAACAAGCATTTATTAAGCACCTACTATGTGCCACTTCCCTCCAACAGTGTAGATCATAACCTATTCATGCCTATCCTTGTGAAGCTCCTGATCATGTCTTCCCATAAAGTTTATAGGTAGACTAAAAACTGTGTGATTCTTT